TGTTTACAGCAATATCTAACACCCAGAAGGCAACAAGGGAAAACATTCCCTGCCATCATTATGATCATTTCTGGAATGTGTTCATACTCAACTCTCAGGAATCAGCTCAGTTGTTACCCTCTTTCAGGAAGGCTTCCCAGGTTTCCACTCTCCAACTCCGGTGTCTGCCCCTCCTCTGCCTCCTGACTCACCCTGGGTCACTGCTGTCATCACCCTTATCACTAGTGTGGTAACTGCCTGTTTACTTGTCTAGCTCCTCTCAATAGATTGTCACTTCCTCAAGTCTAGAGATTAGAAACAGACCACATGCTGGCCCAAACCACAGGTGTGCTTTAGCTGGACTGGGGGCAGGAAGTCTGGAAAACTTTTAATAAGGTGTATTTTTTTTAAATCGAAAACAAATCGGTTATTTTAAAAATGGGATGATTTCACATAAAAATCTGAGTTTCCTGCTTCTCTTGGAAAATTAGAGACTCTGCAAATACAAGCCCCTATCATCACCTGCACCTGTGGGAGCATTGGCTTCAGGGGGCAGGTGCTCCTGGCTTACTGTAGGCTCCACCCAGCACGATTACTCACATTCTGCCCCCAAAATAAGGTGATGACATAAGCCTGTCCTCTGAATCAGGACACCTTTGAGAGCGAAAGTGATATGTTATTAATAACCACAAATAAACCAGACAGATCAGGGAAAACTGGAAAACAGACTCCCCCTAAACTACAGAGTCAGGGGCTTTGTCATCTCTGGGTCCCACACGACACACTTCCTGCCACATACATGCTCAATAAATGGTCATCACAACAACTAGGGCATCTTGAGCATTTGCTTAACGCAAGCTTGTCCAATCCATGGCCCGCAGGCCTAGGACAGTTCTGAATGTGGCCCAACACAAATTCGTAAACTTTCTTAAAACATTATGAGGCCGGGCGCGGTGACTCACGCCTGTAATCCCAGCACTTTGGGAGGCGGAGGCAGAGTCGGGCAGATCATGAGGTCAAGAGATCGAGACCATCCTGGCTAATATGATGAAATCCCGTCTCTACCAAAAATACAAAAATTAGCTGGGTGTGGTGGCGGGTGCCGGTAGTCCCAGCTACTTGAGAGGCTAAGGCAGGAGAATCGCTTGAACCCAGGAGGCAGAGGTTGCAGTGAGCTGAGATCTCACCACTGCACTCCAGTCTGACAACAGAGCAAGACTCCATCTTAAAGAAAAAAAAAGAAAAAAAAAAAGGAGTTTGGAGTTTTTTGCATTTTTTTTAAAGCTCATCAGCTATCGTTAGTGTTAATGTATTTTATGTGGGGGTCCAAGACAATTCTTCCAATGTGGCCCAGGGAAGCCAAAAGACTGGACTCTCCTGGCTTAATGTATTAACTCGACAGTCCTCCCAGGAGCCTTATGAGGTAGTGACTGTTGTCTGCAGCTTGCAGATGAAGAAACTGAGGCACAGATATATTTAATACTGTAACCTGTCTCAACCGCACGGCTAGGAAATGGGAAACAAGACAGTTTGGGTCTAGAGGTTGTGTGTTGGCAAAATCAATCATTCGCTCTTAGAGTCCTTCCCACCTCTACAAACTTTGGGTTCTTTTGATGTTTTTCCTCTTGTTTTCTCCTTTCCCAGGTCTCTCCTTTTGTCCTTTCCTCCTTTCTCCCTCATACTCTGTCCTCTTTGTCTCTCCCTCTCGCTCGCTCTTTCTGTTCCACCCACTCTTGCTCTCTCTGTCTCTCCCATCTTTGTCTCTCTGTGTCTCTAACTGTTGTTCCTGCTCTTGGAAACTCTCTGTTTCTGTCTCTCTGTATTTCCCTTGACATCTTTTTTTTTTTCTTTTCTTTTTTCTTTTTTTTTTAAGACAGGGTTTCACAGTGTCACTGAGGCTGGAGTGCAATGGTGTGATCTTGGCTCACTGCAGCCTCAACCTCCCAGGCTCAAGTGATCCTCCCACCTCAGCCTCTCAAGTAGCTAGGACTATAGATGTGTACCACACCTGGCTAATTTTTGTATTTTTTTGAACAGATGGGATTTTGCCAAGTTGCCCAGGCTGGTCTCAAACTCCTGGTCTCCAGCAGTCCTCCCGCCTTAGCCTCCCAAATTGCTGGGATTGCAGGCCTGAGCCACTGGCGCCCGTGCATGACTCCTTTCTTGAAAGACTCTCACTGTCTCTTTTCTTGCCATCTCTCTGCTCTTCCTTTTTCTGTCCTCCCTTTTTCCTCCTCCTCTTTCTCCTTCTCCCTGTGTCTCTCCCTCTCTCTCTGTGTCTCTCTCTTCCGCACATTATGCATTCTCACCAACCATGACTAAACACGTATGCGATAGAAGAATATGTTTTCAGTAACTCACTGTGGGTGCTGGCTTGTAGAAATCCCACAAGCCAGGCCCTGTGCCTTCACTACACTTTGGTGAGAACTTCTGTGGACAGAGGCACAAAAGCCTCAAGCTGTGAGATTCAAAATCTGGTAGTTAAGCCAGCCCCTCAGCACTCCCAGCTGGTGCCTCCATCCTTGTTCAAAACAATGAGTTGGAAAGTGTCTTGATGACTTTCAGCAGACAGACCTGCAAAGAAGAGAAGCTGGTCTGGACTCCGGCCTTCCTTCACAACACACGGACAGGTAAATAAAATTAATGGCATGCGTCTCTTTTTTGCAAGAGAAGGATAACCACAGTATATCCTTTACAACAAATATGTATGTTCAAAGCACATGAAATGAATGTCTCTTGAAGGACAAAATAGCCTTGGAATATCATTTTGAAGTCAAGGAGAAAAGTAACTTTTTCTGGCTGGGTGCACTGCTGGGTGCAGTGTAGTCTCAGCACATTGGGAGGATGACTCAGGAGGATCTCTTAAGCCCGAGAGTTTAAGACTAGCCTGGGCAACATGGCGAAGCCCCCATGTCTACAAAAACACCAAAATTAGCCAGGCGTGGTGGCGCGCATGTGTAGTCCCAGCTACTCAGGAGGCCGAGGTGGGAGGATGGCTGGAACCCAGGATGTCAAGGCTGCAGTGAGCTGAGATTGTACCACTGCACTCCAGCCCAGGTGACAGAGTGAGACCCTGTCTTGGGAAAAAAAAGGTAACTTTTTCTTAACATGTAAACAGGGAGAAAAGTAATAGAAAAGGAGAAAATGGTACTCCTCATCAGTGAAGTGAGTGAAAAACTAAGTGGGGATAGCAGAGAGGGAAAGAGAGGGGAAGGGAAATTAAGCAGAAGTCACAGTAGCCTGAGGAATGAGACAGAGGAGGATGAAGGGGAGGAGAGGCAGAGGAAGAGGAGGAGGAGGCAGAGGCAGAGAAGGAGGAGAAGGAGAGGAGGAGGAGCTGAGATTGGGGGAAGAAGGTGACTGATCTTAACAAATTTGAGATGAGACTTCAGCAGCCCCAGCTTAGGCAACTACCTGGTTGGCTCTGCCCGAATGAATGTCCACTTACGGAGGGAGGGAGAAGGAGGAAACCTGGAGACCAAAAGGGTCCTGGTGAAGTAGATAATCAGTCTCAAATCCCAGACTGGGCTCCACCTTTTTGTTCACCTTGGTTTCCGAATGGGTGTCCCTGTGCTCTGGAGGGGAAGTGTTCAGACAAAGGCTCACTGGTGGCGATGAGTCAGGGCCCCACCCAGCCCCTACCAGCCCCAGGAGGCCTCTCCTTGCCCATAGGCCTGACAGCGGCTGGGTGTTATCAGGAGAAACCAAGAAACAGTAGGGGCATGGGAAGCCATTCAAAGTCACTCCAAAAGACCTGCTGTGGCCATAGGGTCTAGCTGCCAGAGCCCTGTAGCTGGGGTGGTTCCATTCATCCTGGCAATTAATGGTGAGTTGGCTGCCCAGTGTTTGCCATTTCAATGTCAACAGCCCAAGGGAGACAGCCCTGTGGAGCGGGATCAGCCCAGCTATACGATCTGTCACTTGGCCTGGCCGGATGGCTCAAGCCTGTAATCCCAACACTTTGGGAGACCAAGGCGGGTGGATCACTTGAGGCCAGGAGTTTGAGATCAGCCTGACCAACACGGGGAAACCCTGTCTCTACTAAAAATATAAAAATTAGCTTGGCGTGGTGGCGCACATCTGTAATCCCCGCTACTCGAGAGGCTGAGGCAGGAGAACTGCATGAACCCAAGAGGTGGAGGTTACAGTGAGCCGAGATCACACCACTGCACTCCAGCCTGGGTGACAGAGCCAGACTCCATCTCAAAAAAAAAAAAAAAAAAATCTGTTATCACACTATTTCCACCATCAACACCCTTCCTTTAGCTGTAAGACCTGAGAGGGCAGGAGACCTGTTGTAGATCCCACAGCATACCCAGCAATTGACCTACAGACTGGTATGCAGCAGGTGCTCAATAACTGAACAAGTTAGCATGCATTCAACTCTCCCTGCTGCCACAGACCAGCTGTGTGACCCTGCTCAACTTCCTTAACTTGTCTGAGCTGCTACTTCCCTTATCAGTACACGAGACAGTGCCAGTGAAAGCATAGACTATTGCCTTCCCACCTTTGTGAGATAAGAGAGCCGGAGCATCCAGTCCATAGTTGTCATCAAAATATGGTGGGGGTGGAATGGAGGAGCTCCTTTCCCTTTCCAAAAGTCTGCAGCTTCTGTTGCCGCTAGTTCCGAGGGTGTCGTACAGATGTTACTTTTTAGGAAGACGGTGTGGGGATGTGGTTAAGTGCTCATGATCTGGGGGCTGAGTACCCGAGTTCAAATGCTACCTCCTCCACCTGTCACTCTGTGGTGGCCACCGGCAAGCCACTTCATCTCGCTGAGCTTGTTTTCCCATGTGTAAAACAGAATTGTCAGGAGGCTTACGTGAGATAAATCCCACATCCCTGGCACATAGTAGATACTCCATACACCTTAGCCATGATCACCAGTTTCCACCTCCCAACCCTGTGATGGAGATGTGACTCTCCCCAGGGTGCAAAAGAGGAAACCAGGGCTGGCCAGGTGGAGAGGCCCTCTTCTGACAGCAGAACCAGAACCAGACACCCTTATCCCACCCACCCAGGCCCACCACAGCTGCCAAACATGAGCTGATGGGACAGCCCTCGTGGTCTCCACCCACTGCCCTGGTGGAGAAGTGAAACATGAACCCATCAGTGCAAGACAGAGGAAGAGGCACCCAGCGAAGGTAAGAAGAGTCGGGTGGCCATGAATTTTGTTGAAGGGACAGTCCAGGACAAGGTCAAGTCCAGGGTGGCAAGAGGGTGGAGGCGGTGGGAGGATAGTATGACAAGAAGAGTATGGGGGCTGAGTCGGCTGGCGGCCAGGGGTGAAAAGCTGGTCCCGAGAATGAGGAAGGAAGCCTTTTTATCAGTGTTAACAAGAACAGAGAGGGAAGTTCTTTGCATCTGGCCAGATACCTCAGCTGTGACCTCCTGTCTCTCAGGAGGGGGTCCCTGCAAGTTTTGCTTTCAAAAGTCTCTTGGGAGAAAACACAAGTCCCTGATTCTTAGAAGCTGCCTTCATCTTAACTAAAGAAATCCCTCAGTGGCTTTTTGGTCAGCACAACAGGATTAGCCTTTCTGACTGGTGGATAGCTGGATTTCCCTTGCTTTCACCTACCCATTTGCAGGTGAGAAAACTGAAGCTGGAACCTGGCCTCCAGTCCTGTCTCTGCCATTAGCAGCCCTGGGATCTTAACGCCTCCACCAGCTGAGCTTCAGTTTTTCCATCTGTAAAACGGAGGGTTGAGGCCACATCTTCCTTTTAGTCCTTCCTCTTCCCTTCCCTCCAGAGCAAGCGATGTGGAATTCTAAGGCCAAAGTCACCCTGATTGTATGGTGTGGATTAGTCAAGAACCCAAGATGACCCAAGGATTTGAGATTCCAACCTCCCGCAGGCAAGCAGAAGTGCTCCCTCCTACATAGGGCCGCCCTCCTTCCTGAGAAACTGGGCTGATTTGTGGAAGAAACAGCTGTGCTTTCTGGTGAGCTCTAATGCCAAACATGTGGGCCTTGGAGCAGGCAGGATGTTCCATCAGCAGTCATTGATCACACCTGTGCTCTATGGGCCAGGCATCAAGCCAATAGTAACACCTCCTTTCACCCCACAACAACCCTGTACCAAGCACACACCCATTTTACACCTGAGGAAGCTGAGGCTCAGAGAGGCACCGCGCCCAGGGTCATGTAACCACAGGTGACAAAATGAAGATGCAAATGCAACCTGAGTGATTCCTTTTGACGGAGCCACACCATTTAAATCAACGCTGGGTGATTGGATTATATGTAATTTCTTTTTAATTAAAAACTTTTTTTTTTTTTTTTTTTTTGTCAGACACAGTGGCTCATGCCTGTAATCCTAGCACTTTGGGAGGCCGACGCGAAGTGGATCACTTGAGAGTTCGAGACCAGCCTGGCCAATACAGTGAAACCCTGTCTCTACTGAAAATACAAAAAGTTAGTAGGGTGTGGTGGTGGGCAACTGTAATCCCAGCGACTTGGGAGGCTGAGGCAGGAGAATGGCTTTAACCTAGGAGGCAGAAGTTGCAGTGAGCTGAGATCGCGCCACTGCATTCCAGCCAGGGTGACAGAGTGAGATTCTGTCTCAAAGAAAACCCAAAAAACAAAACAAAAACATTTTTTTCCCCATAATGAACAGGATTGCTTGTGTTTTAAAAGGGAGTAGCCAATCACGGCACTTGCAAATAACATTATATGTTGCCTGGAATCTGATTTAAACTATTCCATGGGGGTGGTGGTGCAAAAATAAAGCAAAATTATCTGTGAATTGATAGCCCTTGAGGCTGAGTATTGAGTGTGACGTTCATTATCCTGTTCTCCTGTAGTGAACATGTTTGAGGAGTTCCATGGTATTAAAAAATTTTTTAATTTAAAATTTAATAAGTCTAAATTCAAGATAAATGAACTGGCCTGGGAATGCCCTGTCATGGGGGTAGCAGTCCTTCGCCCCACCCCACAGCTGAAAGCATTTTAAGGTCGGCTTCAAGAAGGTATTCATTAAGGCCTCCTGGTTCTGCTCTCCCTGAACCACAATGCCTCTCTCTGCGTCCGGGAGAACAATCTTCCCCCAGACTGCTGGCCAAGTCGAGACTGCGCATTAGGGATCCCACAGCCAAGTTGTGGTTTTATGACAGAGTTTGGAACCATATGTGGTTCACGCTCACTCTGTCCAGAGACTTGGGGAATCTCTCATAAATATTCTCAGCAAAGCCACATCCTGGGACACCCAGAAAACTGGCGAAGATGAGACCTCTGGCTTCCACAAGATGGCCAAGCATGTGGGAGTGGCCCCTCTGCACTGGCCCCCCTCAGGCCCAGCACATGCTGCTTCTGCCTGTCCCCAGAGTCCCTGGAGAGTTTGACTTGTCTTCCCAGACCCCTCTGAAACAAGGAGACCTCGCCATGTACAGGCCTTCCCTGTCCTCGGACAAGTGGAATCACCTGTCCACTGGCCTGTATTAGATTGAGCTATAGTCGTTCATTTAGTCAGTAATTATTTATTCAATTATTATTTATTGAGCACCAGCTATATGTACAGCCTTCCCTGTCCTCAAATAAGTAGAATCACCTGTCTAATGGCCTGTATTATGTCGAGCTATAGTCATTTATTTATTCAATAATAATTTATTAAGCACCTACTATATGTCCTAGGATTCTAGCATATAGCAGATAGATGGCCTAGGTAGCATATACAGCATATAAAAGACACAGTCCCCATATTCCAGGAGCTTCTAATTTCCTAGAGGAGAAAGGCAATAATCAATAATTAATACTATTAATCATTTCATTATAATTCTGACAAATGCTTTAGAGAAGTACAGGCACTATGAGGGCATCAGGAATGTGATCTGATTGAGAAGGAAGGGAGTGGAGAGGATTCAAAGAAGGCTTCTTGAGCCTTGGCAACACAGTGAGACCCCACCTCTATCAAAAAAAAAAAAAAAAAGTCAGGTATGGTGCCCTGTTTCTATCGTCCTAGCTACTTGAGAGGCTGAGATAGGAGGGTCTCTTGGGCAAAAGTCGAGGATGCAGTGACCTGTGACGGCGCCACTGCACTCCAGCCTGGGCAGCAATGCGACACTCTGTCTCAAAACAAAACAAAATCAAAGGCTTCTTGGAGAGAATCAAGTTTAAATTGAGATCTGAACATCTGAGGCATTAGCCAGCCAATCAGAGAAAAGGGGGTTATTCTAGAGAGAGGAAGCGGCATATGCAAAGATCAGATGGATCATGGCTCCTTCAAGGAAGTGAAACTCTACCGTGTGGACTGTGTGGTATGAGGAGTATGACAGGGAAGGAGATGGTAGAGATGGCAGAGAAGGAGCTGGGGGCAGGTCACGAAGGAGCTTGAAGGCCAAGTTAAGGATGATGGAGTGCTCATGAGGTAATAGGTGTGTGTGGAGGGGTGAGTAAATTGTACCTAAAATGAGTGCTTTCGTAGCTGGGGAGCTGATTGGGTCAGAACAAGGTAATGTGGATGCTGCAGGGACTAGGCCAGCCCACACAGCACATTTGTAACAATTAAGAGAAGGTGCCCCTCTGGGAAGATGCAGCCCCATAGGCCCATGCTTAGGAAAGGGACCTGACCTGAATTTCAGCCCCTCTATGCCTGAGCCAGCACCCTTGTGCAGTCAGCAACCTACACAACTGTATACAATGGCCACAGATGCCAGGGAATAGTCAGAAGGGTATAACAACATTTGTTGACAAATCTGTCTCCTCCATCTTAAGCACCTTGGGTTCTGAGTTCTTGAGCTCCATATCCATATTGTAACCTCAGTACACATAGGAGATGCTCCTATTATTTGTCAAACGGATTGTTCTTTGGCTACTTGTTTTTTCTTCAGACTTTTCTGTCTTCTTGTCCTTCTAAATTCATAATGGCTTCCCCTTAATGCACTCCTGCTAGGGTTAGAAAGCGCTGTGTTGGCTAGTTTAAGGTTTTTTTTTGTTTTTTTTTTAAAGACAGGGTCTCGCTCTGTCACCCAGGCTTGAAGTGCAGTGGTGCGATCTCTGCTCACTGCAGCCTCCGCCTCCCAGGTTCAAGTGATTCTTGTGCATCAGCCTCCTGAGTAGCTGGGACCACAGGCATACACCACCACACCCAGCTAACTTTTATATTTGTAGTAGAGATGGTGTTTCGCCATGTTGCCCAGGCTGGTCTCGAACTCCTGGCCTCAAGCAATCCACCTTGGCTTCACAAAATGCTGGGATTATAGGCGTGAGTTACCATGTCTGGCTCACTTTGACTTTTTAATCCTGACATTTTACCCTCTGTCCATTCAACAGAAACTTGGCTATGGCCACACAGCTAGGAAGGTGGGCAAGTGGTGCTGGGTAGGAAACTGTCAAGCCCTGGGGGTGTGGTCCAGGCTGGATTCCCTACCTTCTGGTGGGGATTCTTGTGGCTTAATCTCCGTACTTTGGATCCGAGAATGTCAGAGCTGAAAGGAACCCTTTAGGGCCCCGTTTTACAAATGGGGCAACTGAGGCACAGAGAAGGGCTGGGAATTACTAGAAGCCACTGAGTAAGAGCCAGAGCAGAACTGGAAACTAGGTCCCTTGACATGTTTAGAAGAAGCAGCTAGCTAGATATCAGGAGTGGAAATTAGAAGAGAAAGACCAAGGAGGAGAAATGGCTCTCTGAGGAGGGTGTCTGACTGTGATGGCTGTCAGTGGGGCTACGAGGGATTAGAGCAGGATTTGGGAGAGTCCTTGATCACTGTTCAAAGGGAAGAGAGGGCCAAGAAAATAGGACTTCACCAAGGAGTGGACACCCCTCTAAACTGGAATCCATTAGGATCCAGCCTGGCCATAGAGCTCCAGACGCTAAACAGAATTTCTTGTTCTGGGCCTGGTCAGTTTGGAAGTCCTTGGTCAGTAGCATTTGGCTGGCAGCAAGCTGCCGGATGGCCTGCTCTGAGAGCACTTGGTGAAATCAGAGGCAAGGCTTGGTTCCCCTTCCCGGGAGCCTGCACTCCAGGTACCTCTGTGAGGCCCCACTCCAGTTCTCTGTCAGCATCTGCTCGGGGCTTTCCTCCTTCTAGGTCTTCATCACAGCTCCTCCTATGTCACATTGCCTCGGGTCCCACCAGCACTGCCCTGAGCTGGAAAATCCCTCTGAGCCCGAGCAGCCCGTGACCATAGAGGCAGGAAACTATGACACTCGAGGCACACAGGGTGTGAGGTTTATTCTTGGTATGTGGTTGGGAAAGGCGGGGTTGAATGGGGGTGGGGTGGGATGGGATCCTCAAGAGAGATAGAGAAATCCAAAAAGAAGGAACCCCTTTGAGAATATCAGAGTAGTTTTCTTTTCTTTTTTCTTTTTCTTTTTTTTTAATTTTTTTTTTTTTTTTTTTTTTTTTTTTTGGAGGCAGGGTCTTGCTCTGTCACCCAGGCTGGAGTGCAATGACGTGATCTTGGCTCACTGCAATCTCTGCTATCGAGGGTCAAGTGATTCTCCTGCCTCAGCCTCCTGAGTAGCTGGAACTACAGGTGCACACCACTGCATCCGGCTAATTTTTGTATTTTTTGTAGAGTCGGGGTTTCACCATGTCGCCCAGGCTGGTCTCGAACTCCTAGCCTCAAGTGATCTGCCCACCTCAGCTTCCCAAGGTGCTAGGATTACAGGCAGGAGCCATTGCACCCTGCCTCAGAGTAGTTTTCTTTCCCAGCATGTTCCCTCTATTTCAAGCCCCTGGGATTGTCTCTCTTCCTTGAGGTAGCCTCTGGGGGTGGGGGAAGCAGGGGAGCATTTTAGGATCAAGGGTTCAGTCCCTCAATCAGGGACCCCAACCTATAGAGTTTAGTAGTAGCAATCGTAGTAACATAGGGAATATTGTAATTAACTGATCACTTTCTAGATGCCGGGTTTTAAGTATCTAGTACAGTGCCTGGAACACAGTAAGTCCTCAATAAATGGTAGCTTGATTGTATGATTGTAATCCACCTTAAGAAGTGGCACGAGGCCAGGCACGCCTGTAATCCAAGCCCTTTGGGAGGCCAAGGCAGGTGGGTCACTTGAGGTCAGGAGTTCAAGACCAGCCTGGCCAACATGGCGAAACCCCATCTCTACTAAAAATAGAAAAATTAACTGGACATGGTGGTGGGTGCCTGTAATCCCAGCTACTTGGGAGGTTGAGGCAGGAGAATCTCTTGAACCCAGGAAGTGGAGGTTTCAGTGAGCTGAGATCATGCCATCTGCCAGCGTGGGTGACAGAGGCAGGAGTCCCAATCTCATTTTAGAGATGGGGAAACAGATTCAAAGACCACAAGTCATTTTTCCAACATGGTACAGCTGGCTATTCATTCGCCCACTGATTCAAAAAGTATGCATGGAGTCCTTGCTGTGTGGCAGCCGCTGCTCTAGATGAGAGGAATGGAGCCCTGAACATGGCCCCCGCCCTCAGGGTTTATCTGTGTGTGTTCTACTGAGGGGAGTCAGGTGGTGAACACATAGCAAGTCAATAAGGAAGGGAATGGGAATCGCAGATTGGAATGGAAAACAGGCATTGCAGGGGGATGTGGAAGAAGTGAGAACATGGCAGTGCTTTAGAAAGGAAGAGAAGGGAAGGCTTTTTAAAAATCTTTATTTTTTGTAGAGATGGGGTCTCTCTCTGTTTCCCAGGCTGGTCTCCAACTCCTGGGCTCAAGTGATCCTCCTACCTTGGCTTCCCAAAGTGCTGAGAGTGTAGTCATGAGCCACTATGCCCAGCCAAGGGAAGGCTTTTTAAGGGAGGTGACACTGGAGCTAGGATTTGGTAAGTGTGAAGGAGCCAGGGAAAGGTTGTTTACAGCAGAGGCAAACCAACAGCAAAGGCCTTGTGTGGGGAGAGAGCTTGGTTGGTTTTCAGGAGGTTCAGGGAGGCCAGTGGGACTGAGGTGGGCAGGGAGGTGCATGGGAGGGAGGGAGATGAGGAAACCGGTGGGACAGGGACACACCGGCCTTTGGGGCCACGGGAAGAGCTGGGGCTGTCAGTGGCAGAGGCTGCCACTCTGGATTTTAATCCCTCACTTCGGACCTCCATGGCCAGCCCAGGCCCTGCCCCTTTGGCCCCAGTCCTGACTCTGAGCTGGGCTTCGGCGGGTGTGACTCCCCTACGTCCCCGCTGGCCACAGCCCCCCTCCACTCGCAGTGTGTCATAGGACAAGCAGGGCCACTCCTGTTTCCCGGCTCAGAGCCTGTCCAGGCCTGCAGATTCCCCACTGAGCAACAGAAACAACCCCTCGCTGGTGGGACAGCCAGCCCTAGAGGAGGGAGCAGCTGTCCAAACCCCCAAACACCTCCCTACCAGCTACCTGCGAGGCTTCTGGGCCTTCCCCCTTCCTCCACCCACCCTTCTCTCACACGTCAGCTGACCTGGGTTCAAATCCTGCCTCTACCTCCCATAAACACTAGGGCAGTGAGCAAGTTGGGTTTTATTTTGTTTGGTTTGATTTGGTAGAGGTGGGGTCTTGCTATGTTGCCCAGTCTGGTCTCGAACTTCTGGGGTCAAGCAATCCTCCTACCTCTGCCTCCTAAAGTGCTGAGATTACAAGCGTGAGTCACTGTGCCCAGCCTGAGCAAGTCATTTAATCCCTCACCTGTGAGGTGGGATAACACCTATCTGCTCTCACAGGGCTGTCAGTGAATATGAAATATGATAAGAGTAATATCAGTTAGCACTGAGAGTCTACGCTGGGCCAGGTATGTGCCACTTGCCCTATACACTTTAACTCACTTTCCCTTTCTCCTCATGACAACAATATTGGGGAGTATTGTGATCAGAGCCAGCTTCATGGGCATGTGGCCTATGCAGTCACAGAGGGCCACCCCACACTTAGAAGGCCCCCACACTTGGTTTAATTCTCCACCAATGCTGTCTTGAAATTTTTTTTTTTTTTTTTTTTTTTTTTTTTTTTGAGACAGAGTTTAGCTCTTGTTGCCCAGGCTGGAGTGCAATGGCATGATCTCAGCTCACCACAACCCCCACCTCCCGGGTTCAAGCGATTCTCCTGCCTCAGCCTCCCGAGTAACTGAGATTACAGGCATGTGCCACCACGGCCAGCTAATTTTGTATTTTTTGTAGAGATGGGGTTTCTCCATGTTGGTCAGGCTGGTCTTGAACTCCCAACCTCAGATGATCCACCTGCCAAAGTGCTGGGATTACAGGTGTGAGTCACTGAGCCCAGACGAAATTCTTAATAATTTTTTTTTTTTTTTTTTTTTTGTGGAGTCTCACTCTGTCGCCCAGGCTGGAGTACAGTGGCATATCTTGGCTCACTGCAACCTCTGTCTCCCGGGTTCAAGCAATTCTCCTGCCCCAGCCTCCCAAGTAGCTGGGACTACAGGTGCCCGCCACCACACCCAGCTAATTTTTGTATTTTTGTAGAGACGGGGTTTCA